AAGCAGAAATAGCACAGGCTGTTCGCTCTGCATGCATGTGAAAGAAATGAACAGAGAAAAATAAACAGACGATAAATAATAGGCGACTCACCTTATGTGCCGATATGCCCATTTATTTAATTCATAACTGCCACTAATAGCCATGCAAAACGGAACCTATTTTGAGTGCATGAGAGTGTTTTGCATGTAGTGACAGATTTTCAAATATTTGTAACCTGGCCTATAATAAATAATAATAATTATTGATAAAGCAAGTTATACTGCAATCAGGTAATGTGTTTCATTGACTCGATAACCTTAATATTTTGTAGTGTGTGCTGTGACGCGATTTTCATTTCTTGCAATGTGCGCACGTTTAAGATTTGAGGTAATAACATCGCCATGATAGTCAAAGAAATGTAAACATTCTTTTTACCCCAACACAATTTAATAGGGCGCTATAAAGGCTAAACAACTTCATTCTTATATTTGTTTAATTTTTGCAGCCTGGGGCTATACTTCTCACCATCTATTGTATCTTTTCTAAAGCATACAGTATAGTGTAAAAGCATGTTTATTACTAAGTATTTTTTAATTGATCACATCACATAATCTACTGTAGGCTACATTACACATACAGTTAGTGCTGCTCTATTATGGGAAAAATCATAATCACGATTATTTTTGTCATAATTGCAAACATGATTATTCAAAACTATTTTTCAGCTGAAGTCAAAATTATTAGCGCTCCTGTGAATTTAAAAAAATATATTTTTTAATAAATATTTCCAAAATGATGTTTAACAAATTCAGGATTTTTTAACAGTATTTTTTATAACATTTTTTTTCTTCTGGAGGAAGTCTTTGTTTTATTTTGGCTAGAATAAAAGCAAGTTTAAATATTTTGAAACCTATTTTAAGGTCAATATTAATGACTTGCCCAATTATCCTAATTAAGCCTTTGAATCGTACTTTAATCTGAATGCTTGTATTTTGAAAAATATCTAGTAAAATATGGCTGTCATCATAACAATGATGAATGAAATCAGTTATAAAAAATTAGTTATTAAAACTATTATGTTTAGAAATGGGTTGAAAAAAATCTTCTTTCCATTAAACAGAAATTGGTGGAAAATGGTTGCTAATAATTCAGGAGGGCTAATAATTCGGATTTCAATTGTATATATGCAGTTATTTTCCTCCCTGTAAATGAGCAAAGGGAAATATGTACAATAGAATAAAAATATGAAACAAACTGTGCTTTAAGCATCTAATAAATGATCACTGAACACAGCATTTTGACACCTATTTGACCATTAAAACGCTCACAGTAAGATAACTTTAGATGTGTGTGCTCTGCTCGTCTAGGCTAAGTGCACACACACAGCAGCATGTACAAATCAGATTATAAAAAATGATCAAGAGCATGCTTTTCCTTTTATCCTTTATTTTTAGTTTTTTTTTTTGTTATTATTTACACATTTTTTTAAGTGGTGAGGACAATATTCACTGGTTCCCCCCTCCTGTATAATAATTAAATGTTACATTTTTAAGAACTTCACAAATAGCCTAAATAACACTTTTCAGTATCAGTGATAATATAAATAGTAACTAATAATAATAATAATAATAAAAAGAAGAAGAAGAACAAAAAATATTAGCCTATTGATAACAATATAAGTGAGATGTTGAGGAAAAAACAGCGTAGGCTACTAACTCTCCACCGTTTTTGATTCATATTTTAAATTATTTGACAGTAAAGCTAACATGCTGACACATTGTCTGGATTAAGCAGACCTAGTTGGAGTTGCAATGTTTCCAGCAGCATTCAATACACGTTCAGACTTTCTATCGGAGTGCTTGTAGCGCAAATGCAGAAATGCTTTTTCCTATGCCACATTTCTCGTCAATATCTTCCATTTATCACTTCTCTTTTGTATCTGGCCATTTTTAAATAGGGTTTTGCGATATCTGGCTGACAAAAAATCAAAAAATAAATCTTAATTTTTATAATTTTATATATTTTTATTTTATTTTTTGTGCTCATAATATTGACCTTTGCAGTTTTTACCTTTTTATTATTCAGCTAAACTAAAAACCGGAAGACTTTCTCCAGTGGAAAAATATAATAGGGAATATTATGAAAACATTGCTTGCCTTTTTTTAAAATTAAGAATAGTCTTTACATGGAAAGGTCATATCACTTTCAGTAGTCCACAATGATTCAAAGCAGCTACTGAAAGTTATACTCGCATATGTTGCTGTTAAATCATGTAGTTGTGTGATGCATAACTATGGTGTAAGTGCACACCTAAGGATTAACCTTTTTTCCAAGAAAGAGACTTTTAAACGATATTGATGAACAGTTGATATGATCTATTAAAAGTCAGTGATGCTAACAGTTAATCATCTTGTTTGCTTTCAGGCTCTAGCACTGGCAGAACAACCTACATGAGAAGACCATGGACAAAAGCAGACGTGAAGGCTGTAATGAGTTCAAAAGACTGATTATTATTATACACATTTTCTTTTTTTCTTTTTCCTTGTCACAGAGTGACAATATTTAACCATTTTCAAACATGTAAATTAAAAAAAAAAAAAAACATGGCCCAGGCCCACTTCTGTTCCATGCCATTGCTTCACAGTCCATCATCACTCTAGGGCAGTCTCTACATTGCTCTACAGTTTGCCTCTGCTTCTCAACCCATGTCTGCCACTACTCCACAGTCTGGTACTGCTCCACAGTCCAGGTCCACGTCTGCTTCATGAGCCTGGGCAATACCCATCACACAAAAATACATAACCCACAAATGCAGTCCCTCAGACTGAACATTTACAACAGTGTTGAGTAGCAAAAAGACATGTTTTTTGTTTTTTATTTACATGTTTGAAAATGGTCAAATATTGTCACTGTGACAAAAAAAGTGAAAATGTGTATGATAATAATTAGTCACATTATAACACATTATATTACTGTCACATTACGAAATTTAGTTTTTAATCTGTTTTGTGTTCATATAATTCTGTATGTATCATTCAATATGTGGAATCAAACTTTTATGTCTAGTTTTATCTTTTTTTCTTTTTATCTATTTTTTTATCTGTTTTCATCCATCTAATTTTTGTTCTTGTCAGAGTGATAATAGTTTATGCATTTCATAATAAAATGTATATACATGTTTAATTCCCCTGCTGTTTTCCTGGACTTCAAAAATAAAAATAAAAAGTTTTTTTTTTATTCCTGTCATTGAGTGGCAATGTTTTGTATTTGACAGTATTCTAGTTCACTACCATGTTGTGTTCTAGTATAAATATTTAAATTTGAAAAAGAATAATCTGTTGAACGACTTAATTAAATTTTAAAATACCATTAGTTTGTTTATAAGCTGTAATCATTCATTCATTAATTTTCTTTTCGGCTTAACCCCTTTATTTATCAGGGGTTTCCACAGTGAAATGAACCGCCAACTTATCCAGAATATGTTTTACGTTGCGGTTGTTCTTCCAGCTGCAACCCATCACTGGAAAACACCCATACACACTCATTGTTCAACAGTACATTAAACAGATTGTTTAACTGATACAACACAATAAGCCTACAGATTTGTTATATCAAAAGTGTATTATAAGCAAAATAGGATTTTGTCATTTAAGAAGTGACAGGCAGAACCTTAGCAACTGAGATGGGTTTAGCAGGGGTCTAGCTGAGGAAAGCCAGAGTCTGTTCTGTTGTCACCCTTACTGCAATAGCAGAATAGTATGATATGTAAAATGTGTTAATCAGTCCTCTTAAACCATGAAGGGGCTAGGTTTGTGTGTAACATGTAAACAGACCTTGTAAACCATGATTTTGTCTGGCCCCATAAGCCTGTGAAATGTCACATAGTTCATTTGAGTGTGTTGTGAAACTAAAATTGCTGTTTTTAAGCGTTGTTTGCCTTTTGTAGCTCAAATAAAAATTTTTGGCACAAGTTTTATGTTCGTAGGATGTTGGCAAAGGTATGTCCCCGTAAACCACCAAAAAGTCACATTGACCTCATAAACCATGTATGCCTGTATGTGTGTGTGTGTGTGTGTGTGTGTGTGTGTGTGTGTGTGTGTGTGACATATCAGGACACAAATCTGTATAATGACATGTATGACACAGGTATCACAAAAAGGAGGTGAAATGTGAGGACATTGATGACGTCCTCATTTTTCAAAATGCTTATAAATCACACAAGATGAGTTTAATCAGAGAGTAAAGCTGGACACTGACTCCTGTGATGGTTGGGTGAGGGCAATATAATATACGATTTGGACAGTATAAAATGAATGGAAACCTACGTAATGTACCCAATTTTTTACAAAAACAAAAATGTGTGTGTGTGTGTGCGTGCGTGCGTGCGTGCGTGCGTGCGTGTTAGTATATTATATATAATCATCACATTAAATATCTCATTACTACAACAGATCATGTGACTGGATAACTAGACTACCCAGTGGATCAGTCTTGCTTTAGTTGTTTTGGAATGCCTGAGCTAGGCTGTCATTCATGTTATTGGAATAAATTATGTCATTAAAGTCATTTATTAATTCGGGAAAAAAGAGCTATAGTGGATCTATAGTGTTGACAGCAGGGCTGCTCAACCCTGATGCTGAAGATCTACCTTCCTGCAAAGTTTAGCTCCAACCCAACGCACCTGAACCAATTAATTAGGACCTGATCAGCACTTGATAATTACAGGCAGGTTTGTTTGACATGGGTTGTAACTGAAATCTGCAGGAAGGTCGATCCCCAGGAACAGGGTTGAACACCTCGGGTTTGCAGTGTAGTTAAAGTGGTGATTTTGTTTTCTTGAACACATGACACGGAAACAAACAAATAATGTCTTCAAATTTATGTTAAATCAACAGCTTTGGATGTGATCTTTACCAAAGATAGTAAAATAGCACTGGTTGACATTATTATATAAATCAATTTGTGAAAAAGCAGCCTAACCGATGGCCCTTCTGTTTGTTCCTGTTGTGCTTTTGTCCAGCCCGACATCTGATTGACAAGAAGGTGAACGAGATACGGGATCAGGTGGCACGTGGAGAAGAGGTGGAGGGCATGTATCTCACCTACCTGTTATCCAGCAATAAACTCAGCTTAGGAGAGGTCTACATCAGCCTCACTGAGCTCCTCCTGGGAGGAGTGGACACGGTAAAAATCTGTTTGTTTACTTCTGGAACCAGTCAGAATAGATCAAACTATGTGATCTGCTGTCAGTCAGACTCATTATTTACTCAGCACTGAAACCACATGTAGAGTTTTCTCATAAGTGGGTGTTTCTTTTCTGTGCACCCTAGGAAAGCAAGTGACAACTTGAAAGAGAGCAACAAGAAACAAACACACAGGTTCAAACATGAATCACATTATATATTAATCATACCACCTTTTTATTATTGGTTCCTAAGTGCTATTCCCTTATGAACAGTAGTACGCTATTTTTGATTTGAATGAGTACTTAATACAGAAATAATATAATTCAACAAAATATAATTATATTTTAGAATAATATAATATTTATAATATATATAATAATATAATAAGTGAATAGAATATTTTCAGACTTTAAGGTGCCTTAGAGTACATTGATTCAATGTTAATTGTGCTCTTATATTTACAGTTGAAGTCAGAATTATTAGCCCCCCTGAATTATTAGAACCCCTGTTTATTTTTTCCCCTATTTCTGTTCAACAGAGAGTAGATTTCTTCAACACATTTTTAAACATTATAGTTTTAATAACTTATTTCTAATAACTGATTTGTTTTATCTTTGCCATGATGACAGTAAATAATATTTTACTAGATATTTTTCAAGACACTTCTATACAGCTTAAAGTGACATTTAAAGGCTTAACTGGGTTAATTAGGTTAACTAGGCAGGTTAGGGTAATTAGGCAAGTTATTGTATAACGATGGTTTGTTCTGTAGACTATCAAAAAAAAGTTAGCTTAAAAGGGCTAATAATTTTGTCCTTAAAATGGTGTTTAAAAAATTAATAACTGCTTTTATTTTAGCCGAAATAAAACAAATAAGACTTTCTCCAGAAGAAAAAACATTATTAGACATGCTGTGAAAATTTCCTTGCTCTGTTAAATATAATATGGGAAATATTAAAAAAAGCAACAAAAATTCAAAAGGGGGCTAATAATTCTGACTTTAACTGTATATATTACTTATATTGTCTAAGTAAATGCAAGAATTCTCCAGATTTATAGCCTCATTTATAAACACAAAAATGTAAACCCTAGAACAGGAGTGGCCAAACCTTTCTTATGAAGGCAAGAACTTCAAAGTTTCCATGAGTAATTTCCTAATTTATTTCCTAATAATTAAAAAAATAAATATTATTACTATATTATACTCTAATTATTCAGCTATGCTTAGATAAATTCAGATTTTCATTCTGCGGCTAAACTAAAGTCAGGGCCTACTTTATTTGTAACAATATGAATGTTGACCAAAGAACTTCCCAGATATGGCAACAACAAAAAACATTAAGAGGAAAAGACAGTATATAGTTCAACAAAAGTCATTTTTATAAGTTAGCAAAAGAGAAGAGGTAGGCTTTGACTGATTTTCCCTTTAGAAGAACTAAAGAAGAATTTAGTTGTTATTTTGACTGACCCTCGGGCCATCCAAGTTGTAGGATTGTTATAACTGCACATACAGTATATGTGTAACTAGCACTTGCCATCTCTTGAGCTTCCCACATAAATATTGAGGTAGAGCACATGCCGATCCAGTACAGTTTGATTGCCAACACAATTAAACATTTTATCAGTTTTATCAGATGCATCTTACCTCTTTTAAAAAGAACATTTCGTTCTTTTTCCCAGCAGAAAAAAGAAATACAAATCCAACATAGTGTGATGTTACTATTCATTTGCTCCTTTTTTTTGTAATTAACACCTAGTATCTGAAACTCACGCATCTGCTCCTGTAAACAGAAATTGTCTCAGTCTGGGCAACGTTGTGGCATTTTCACAAGTGTTCTGATAGACGTCACAACTGGTCGGTTAGAGTCCTGTGTAGGTGTAGCTATGGCAACTGTATGAGTATTTGAATGTTCAGTTTTAGCCTCAGAAAGAGGTTCAGCACAAACATTCATTCATTCATTTTCTTTTCGGCTTATTCCCTTCATTATTCTGGGGCCACCACAGCGGAATGAACCACCAGGTGCAACCCATCACTGGGAAACACCCATTAACACTCATTCACACACATACACCGGACAAGTTAGCTTACCCAATTCACCTATAGCACATGTCTTTGAACTTGTGGTGGAAACCAGAGCACCCGGAGGAAACCCACACGAACACAGAAATGCTAACTGACCCAGCCGAGGCTCCAAACAGCGACTTTCTTGCTGTGAGGAGAGAGCGCTGCCCAATGCACCACCATGCTGCCCAATTTCTATAATGACCAGCAGAATCTACTAAAAATGAGGCTAAAAAAATTGTAAATCAAATAATAATTTAATTTGACCTAGTAATTGGTATAATTGAGATCTTGGTAATCAAAACAAGTGGAGAAAAATTCTGCCATGTGATCTTTGGTCTTCCTCCTATAGCGACTATCACAGCATATCAAGCAGAGAATAGGTTACATGCTTTTTTAGAGGCTTCAAATAATGCCACAAATACTAGTTCATGCAAAGCTTTAAAAATCACATTGCACGGTTAATTAAAACACTCCTCCTCTATAAATTGTGTCTAAAATGCAATAAGGTCAGTCGCAAAAGTAACTGTCTACACATTTTCATTTTTGAATTTTAACTGTGACTTTTGTCAATACTGAAAGTAATTTGGACAACAAAAAAGTGTTTGCATTTATGCAACATATAACAAATCTGGCCATCATCAACAACATTACGTCACCTTGAAATTTTATCTGCGTTTTAAATGGTTTTGAGATATTGAGCTTCAAAGTTTTTGCATCCCATACAGCAAACAATATGTGTGTAACAATTCTCTTTCATACATTAACATGACAGAAACCCTAAATGTAAATTATCAAAACTCTCAAATTTGCAATTTGGGGTAAAACAAACAGGGCAAACGCAGATTAAACCTTCTCATTCAGAAAAGTCATTTTCCACATGTAATTATAAGGTTCTATCTGGCAGATCATTCATTGAAGCAATACTTATCAAGAAATACAATCACAAAATATACAAATTGGTGTTGATGCTCAATATGTTGATGCTCGAGAAAGTAAAATTTTAGCTTTCTATAACATTTATTTTTATGTTTTGGATGAATATTTTTTCTTGTTCAAGTTAAGCATTCAAGGCTGTGCTAAATATTTTATCTAGTGTAGATTTTATATATTGAACTATAAGTTTTTTAAATAAGAATTAAATTAAGTATTTGCCCTTTAAGGCTTTATATCAAAGACTAAAAGAAAACAGACAATGAGCACATGAGTTTAATTGATACTGAAAAATGTTTTACTGACTGTATATACACAAATAAAAATATTTCACATTTAATATATATATATATATATATATATATATATATATATGTATATATATGTATGTATATATATATATATATATATATATATATATATATATATATATATATATACTTTTATTTTTTTTTTTAAATAAGCGTTTCAAGAGTTCACACTTACTATTTGATTATAAAGCTTGTTTGGCATGCTTTGCCAGGAGAGAGCCCTGAGCTCATAAGATCCTCGAGCCTGTTGCTCCCTCCTGTTTCTAAGGTGAGAGGGAGTTTGAGCTCAGGTAGATCTCGAGAACTCCCCTGCTGTAGTTACTAATGAACAGATAGTGATTGCTCTTAAGAGATAACTACTTACTAGGAGCATGTCTATGGTGCCAATTTGGATTAGTCAATTAAGTTAAGTTGCATGTTTTCGGATGGTGCGAGGAAACCGGGGAACCCAGGGGAAACCCACGTGAACACAGGGAGAATGTGTAAACTCCACACAGAAGTGTCGGCTGGCTTGGCAAGGACTAGAACCAGTGACATTCTTGCTTTGAGGCAACAGTGCTAACCTCTGGGCCACCGTGCCATCCATCTAGCAAAGCAGGAGGAGTAGGGGTGTAAGTGGGGATTCTTTAAAATGAAGATGCCTGTAATATGGAACTTATGATATTTATAGTGGCTTAGGAGTCGTCTGATTAGTAAATCACAAATTGAATAATGCGGGACCAGCTGCAAGCAATCATAAGCATGTGATCCTCTCAAAATTAGCTTGTAAATAAACTTCACTTATTAACTGTGTACATAACAATGTGATATTGTGTTTCTTTCTGGTCCATCTCTGTCAAAGGAGCAATCTGGCAGAATGACAAAGAAAGCTTATCCTGATTGGTCCTTGTGCATGCATTCCAAATGCTGATTGGCTCACAGAAAGAACCTTAAAGAGCCAAGCTAGAGTTTAATAAAGATAAAGCCTTTTTTGTCTTTTAAATAAACAGCCCATAAAAAAACATCACAATATGTAAATAAGTTGTCATTTAATAGGAATATGTGAATAACAATTTTGACAAATGTCAGACCTTATAATTCTAAGGTGACGATTAGCCCTAAAAATATCACAGCTACTGAATGAATCCAATTACAAACATAATCAAATTAAGAGTCATTTTCAATCACGACCTTCACTTTTATGATCCCTTTTATAGTACATTGATGTCCTTCAGGGATAACCCCAACTCTGCTTCATAGAATTACCTCTGAACATGTTCCAATAATGGTTTACAACCCGAACAAATCTTTGACTGATGTTCTAATAGCCTCTGACATGCAATACTGCAATCCTAATCTCAGTGTAAAAGTGTGTCAAGGCTACCATTTATCAGATGTCCTGAGCGATCAGCTAAATTGTGTTCTTCATAAGACGAGGTCAATAGTCTGTTAAGCAGCCAATGCCATTTTTGCTGAGTCTTCACCTGTTTGAGCGACACATAGCTGATGATTTGGAGAAACAACTGTACTTTTGTCCTTCAGCATCTGGGCATTTTTACCTTAAAAGGATAGTTCACTTAAAACTAAAAATTCTGTCATTTACTCAGCATTGACTAGTCACAAACTTTTTTGAGTTTCTTTTTTTCTGTTGAACCCACAAGATTTATTTTGAAAAATGTTGGAAAGCTTAAACCATTTACTTCAAGAGTATTTGTTTTTCCTACTAAGTCCTTTCCTAAGTCAATGGTTACCGGTTTCTAACCATTTGAACTGAAAAACAAACTCATAAAGAGATAAAACCCCTTGTGGGTGAGTAAATGAGTAAATTGTAATTTTTGGGGAACTATCCCTTTAACAATTCTGGTTGTGTATATAATAACATCATATGATATCTATAAATGTGTTTTTGCTTAGATCTTTGGTCCATTTGTTAATTGTTTCCTCTTTTTTTTTAATTTATTTTTTTATCCTTGACAGACATCTAACACTCTCTCTTGGACTTTGTACCACCTCGCTCGTAACCCAGAGATACAGAAACGCCTCCACAATGAGATCGTTTCTGTGTGTCCGAATAAAAAGGTGCCAAATACAGACGACCTGACCAAGATGCCCTACATGAAGGCGGTCATAAAAGAAATCCTCAGGTATGAGAAATCCATTCTAGCTCATCCACAAACTTAACCATAAGAGTTGACTCATGCAGGAGTGGCCTGCCATATAACCTTTGATCAGGGCTTATTTAAACAGCACAGCTCACATCAGAAATCTCTTCTAAGTTCATAAGTACACCAAAATCCTGAAAATAAGTTTACGGACATAACCCACCACCCTGGTTTGCATTCAAAGCAATAACCTGGCAGTACAGGTATACAAATAAGGCTACTACGGTAATCATTGGTGTCTCCTGCTGGCAAAATGAGCTGGAATGTGCACAGGCTGATTATTACTTTAATGATTCATGGCCTGTTGCTCTCGGCATCATAAATGAAAGAATGTTGCAGTAACTCTTGTGCCAATAAGGAAAATGCTGCTTTGGATGATCTGATCAACATTTTATGATCTACAATCTCATGGCCTCTCATTTTTGCAATGGTCCTAAAATTAATATTGAATTGTTTAAACCACTTCAGATGGGATTTAGTAAAAATTACAGTATTGAGACAGAGATTGCAACTAATCTGCTGATGGCATCTGATTCTGCTGCAGTTTTTATTCTTATCTTTCTCTGTTCTAATTGTCTTTATCACCTTGATTGAGTTTTTGATGTGATAAGATCTGCTTTAAACTGGTTTAAATTTTGTTGACTTCGCTGTTTGTCTCATTGGGAGTTGTAATGATTGAGGTGCCTTTTACACTAGACTTTTTGTCTTAAAAAGGTCCAGAATAGCGTTTTTAATGGCTTTTTTAGATAAAATAATAGTCCAAACTGTATGATATTTTTCATTTACGCTCACTTGGCAATTGCATATGTTGTCGGCATCCATACCTGCCATCTACTGGTGACATAATTGTCATATGAGAAGGGCTTGAGGAATCAGGGAACAAAACGCAATAATCCAGAAGACTAGTCAGACAGTGTTTTTGGATAGCCATGTCACTATTTTAAAAAGTCCATCTAGGGATGAAGTGATTAGTTTTGGTTGTTCGATTATAGCCTGAGGAATAATCACAGTTTCATGGTTATTATTATCCAATTATTAATTTCAAACACTACTAGCTTAGAAAATCACATGAAAGCTCCTTGACCTTATAAAGCTCCTTACGCCCACAGTAACCAAATAATACTGCACAAATGAATATTAAAAAAAGAAAAACAATAGTCCATTTCTCTCTTTGAATTTAAAAGTAAGTGAAAAAAGTTCTATATGAATAAATAAAAAAATATTATGTAAACATGTGCCAAGCTACATATCAGCTAAGTATTGGAGAACAAATGTAGTTAAAGGCTATATTACAAAATAGTTTGGTATTTTCGTTTTGTATTTTTCTTTTTGGACCAGAGTAGAAATGTGTATATTCCATACAAAGTCTGAAGCTGATCGGTCAGTTCTTGTCATATGACTCGCAGTGTGCTAGCAGCATTCTGAAAAGGTTTGAACTACTGTAAGTACGACAGGAGAGCGTGTCGCATCACTTACAATATATGTGTGCAAGCCACGCACCTCTATTGGAAATAACAAACTTGTGTGTGCAAAAGTAAAAAAAAAAATATGTGAACAGCCCTTAAGAGCAGTGTGACAGAGGCCTCAGTTAATAGCCTCAGCCATAGTTATTCCAGTGTGCATGCGTATTAGTCTCTATGTACAAGCTTGAAACTTGAAACTAAGGCACTGTTGTCGCAACTTTGTTTAGTTGCAGCAGTTTTGTCCCGTGCAAAAACGCTGTGTTGAGAAGCCTTTACGATTAGTTAACCGAGACAAATTAAAGCATGGTGAAATCGGTATATAGTTCTAACCATAATTCCATCTACACTGAAATGTAACACAAACATTACATTCAGCCTTTTAAAAACTATTTATTTGTAGATTGAAGATGAATAACAAAACTTGTGCATTTTAAAATAAATAAGCACAAGTGTAAAAGGAACCTGGGTGTGTAGGTACTGGTGTCACTCAGGCTCGGTTTAAGGCCCCTTTACTTTTAATATTTATTTGTCGGTTCTTGGACATCTTTTGCAATTACTTGGCCTTCATGTGTTTTACTATGATGACACACATTTACTTACAATCAAAACCTTGACAGTATAAGATAAAGGATCGGATTCCTTCACCAAATTACTGAAGTTGATTCACTTAGACTAAAAGTAAAATAAGGAAACTTAAAGTTGTCTTCAAATCTTGTCTTACATTTGATTCGTTTTTTTCATAAAATCATATTTCTTTTAAAGCAGGGGTGCCTAAACTCTTGTATGAAGAGCCAAAAACCAAATATCATTGAGAGCCATGAGCCAAAGATAAACAAATCAAACTATTTTACATTAGCATTACCATGGGTCATTTCCTACTTTATTTAATAACATTTAAAAAATTAATAGAAAACATCACTTTGAATCGTATTGCAATAAGAACATAATCACATTTATAAGACACTGGAGTTCAATGCTGAATGCACTAGTCAAGCAGAATCTGCCTTTGCCTTGATTTGCTCACCAAAGTCTACGTACAGTACGTACACTTTAAACTAATTTACAGCATTTAAATTAAAATTTCATTTCAGTTAGCTTTTCTGTAGCTCAACAATAAAACAAACATAAAAGATTCCATCAAATTTGAAATGGCCATCTCTAAACCATTCCTATCATTCCCCCTCATCATTCTTTTCAGAAAATCAAATGGGTCAACTTTGGCCGTAGTTTGGGCATCTCTGTTTTAAAGTTATCAAACTAAATTTAGTATATGTAGCTTTTCCCCATAGCTCAAGACAGTTTTGGTAATGGATTTTGTTATAACGTATGCACATGCCTCTTGACAAGATATGTTGCTACATGAAAAAGTGATTAAACTTATATAAAATGTTGAATTAGATTTCGACTTGGTTCCTTTTAACCACCCAATACATACCCGCCTTTTTCTGTGAGCTCAAGTTCAGTTTGTTTTGCTTGTTCAGTTTCCAAATATAAAAAGATTGCCTTTAAGAATGTTACTGCAACAGGTATTCTTTGTAATTTGGCATAAAAAATCTAATTATCCACCATGTTAAGAGCAGCGCCAGACAGCATCTGATTAATCTTTTGCCATTTCTGCAAAGAAACTTGTAAAACAACTAGATTTATCTGGAGTTAATTTGAAAGTATAGTATCTACAATTCAGGTTTACAATGTCAATCCAATTAGAACCACTGGTTTTGTAAACAAAGTCTCTCATGGAATATATCTACTTTACAATCTGTGTTGAACATAAATCATCTAAACATTTGCTTATTATTCAATACTTTTAGTGAAATTAAATATCAATGACTAAATGAGGGGCTAATAAAATATGTGGGCCTTGGTAAGAGACATATACACTGTAAAAATGCTGGGTTCCACAAATATCCTTCATGTTTTCCCAACACAAATCAATTAACTTCAAGTTAACTTCATTGTTTTTTGTTTTTTATTGCATATTTAAGTGGATTGAACATAAAACAAGTAAGTTGTCCCAAAAAACCTTAAGAATTTTGTTGGTTTAACTCATTTTAAATTAGTAGATTGAACAAACTGAAGTAATTTTGTCAGTGTATGACGCATTTCAATATTTAATACTTCAGAAATACTAATTCAAGATAAGTAATCATTTCTTACACCATGACAGGATGTATCCTGTTGTTCCTGGCAATGGTCGCCTGACTGTGGATTCAGACATAGTTGTGGATAATTATTGGTTCCCTAAGAAGGTACCAAACATACACGCACACCTCCAAACATTCGATTTGTCATTAAATATCTCCATATTTAATTCAACATTTCTGTCTTTTCACAGACACAGTTCCATCTCTGTCATTACGCCGTCAGTCATGACGAGAACAATTTCCCAGATGCGGAGCGCTTTGTTCCTGAGCGCTGGATTCGAGACAGCCCTTCTCGCTCTCAGCATCACCCCTACAGCTCTGTCCCGTTTGGGGTTGGTGTCCGGGCCTGTGTTGGGAAGAGGGTGGCAGAGCTAGAGATGTACTTTGCCCTGAGTAGAGTGAGTATGACACTGTATCATGCGCAGTTTCGCAACCAGATATCACAATATTCAGCTCAATGTCAGTCTGACTTGTTTTTATGGGGCTTGGTTAACAATATTGATTAGTCAATATTAAAGGGATAGTTTGCATATCATGTTTCATATCATTTTAACTATTAAACATTTTTGACAATACCTTTAGGAATATTAGGATTTTTTTACATATAAAATATAGCATATAAATTTTTTTAAAACCCTTTATTTTAATTAATCAATATTAATAAACAAAAATAACAAAACATCTCATATTTTCATAATAAATAAACATAAGTGTTAAAGAGACTCTTAAACTTGATAATTAAAATGTTACAAAGTGTGTGCAATGGTAAAGGTAGATCAACTTACTGTATGTAAGGTGTCAATAATAATGATACAGTAAACCTTAAACTCTGTAAACAAAACAAATTATGATAATCACATCTGAACTTTCAAGTAAAGGTACTGACCATCATTATTCTAATACATACTGTAACATTACAAATTGTGAAGTTGAAGGAGTGCATTACCCCTATGCTAAAAAATCTTTTAGATCGGGTGCTAGTGGCTGGGATACACAAGAAAAGAAACCAAAAAGCCACTCTGAACATCATTTTTTATTTACTATCTCCTCACTGCTGCTACATGGCTCTCATTTTCACATGTGTTGTTATTCTGACCTAAAGTGACTAGCGCAAACGCATGCTTTGTGTTCGTCTGAGGTAATTAGTTCGCCTGAAATGTGTATATTTCATACAAAGTGTTAAGCAGATTGGTTATTTTTAGCTCTCGGGGCATTCGGAAAAGATCTGATATTTTTCAACTAAGTGTACCTGGAAAATGTGCGCGCGTTATGTTGTAAATGACAAACTTACACCCTAAGCTTAGTGGCATTGCTTCCAAGGCGCACGCTCAGCAGCCACCTTTTAATAAAACTATATCACTTGATACCAAAACTACATACCGAACGTTTTTTTATTTTGGATACTGACAATGGTGTTTGGTCAATAAATACTGATATTGATTTTATCGCCCAGCCTTAGTTGAACACAAAAGAAGATATTTTGCAAATGTTGGAAACCTGTAACCATTGAATTCTATGGTAGAAAAACAAATACTATTGATTTCTTTGCCATCAATCTACTTAAAAATGTGATCGTTTAGGATTAAGAAATTGATCATTTAGACTAGATTTGTCTCTCAAACTAATTTGAATCATTTAATCATTTATATAGCACATTTTATACCGTATTTTGTGATTCACGTTTTCATTTTTTTATTAATCCCTGTTCATTTATGCTTTTGAATCACATAATGAGACCTTGATCTTTCTTCTGACAACTTTTTAGCCTTAAAATGTTGGGAAATGTGAACTTATTAACATTTTTGATAGTCTAAAGTGTGTCCAAACTCGATCCTGGAGGGCCGGTATCCTGCATAGTTTAGCTCCAACTCCCTTCAACACACCTGCTTGGAATTTTTTGTATACCTAGAAAGAGCTAAATTTGCTGTAACAGGTGTGTTTAATTGGGGTTGGAACTAAAATATTCAGGACACTGGCCCTCCAGGACCAGGTTTGGGTACCCCTGTTCTAAAGTGATATATTGTCTGCATTTGTGTTGTGTATTATGATACAAAAACCTTTTAATAAGCTGCCAGTACATTTTCTATTATTTTACAGATTTTTTTGTCTATGAATTAAATTTTTTTATACATTACATTTTTCAAACTACTAAAATGTCAATAAAAGTCAATTTGGTAAACTGTTGAATTTTTAACATCAAACGTCAATAGAGCAGAGATCAACATCCCATAATGCAATTCACTACTGTAAATAAATGAAAAACATGGAAACAGATATTTTTTACAGTGCACAATGGTAATTCAAAGTGCTTTACATTAACAAGAATAAAAGAAACAAGTACAAAGAAATTAAAACAACAAAGAATAAATACGATTAGAAACAGGTTAAACGTGTTAAGACAGGTGTTGATAAAGTGTGTTCAGAATTTCCACTTGATATTTTGGTTTGCAGTTGCTTGCTTAAACCTCAGTAACCTGACTGTTGTTATCACTTTCTTTCACCACCAGCTGATGCAACAATATGAGGTCAGAACGAAGGCCGGATCTCCATCCATCCAGCCCAAAACCAGAACACTGCTCATTCCTTCCCAACCCATCGACCTGCAGTTTATCCCTCGCGCCTGACACCAGCAAAGCTCCACTGTACACGTTAAAGGGTTGAAGGGTTAGTTCACTCCCAGAATGAAAACATTGCACATGATTTTGCCAAGTACGATGCGACCCTGGATTAACATCTCTGTTGATCCTGGAACAAGTTTTGTTGAAAAATGTAATCTATACCTATTCCCTACCCATAAACCTAATCATAACTGTAAATTATTCACAAAATCAGAGGGGAGTAATAGTTAGAAAACAATCATGTAGAAGTGCATAAACCTAACCGTAAGACTAACAGTAAACGTATCGACTAGTTCTGATTGGCTGATTGAGATTGTTTCAGGATCCACACAGATGTTAATCCAGGAACATGTTCTACTTGAAATCAGGTTGATGTGAAAACGTTACAGGATTTTTCTTCATATAGTGGACTTCTGTGGCGCTCAGTGTTAGTGCTGCATGAGATTGTAAATGTATGACAGTCCAATATTTTGCTTTTCTGCTAAATATATATTGTGATATGAATGAATGTTCACCAGATAGGTTGAACAGCTCCATTTGAAAAGGATTTATTCATTTAGTTGTGATTGTTCTGTAGGGGAGGGAATCATACATATATAATTATAATAATTATATAATAAATAAATATATAAATATATATATATATATATATATATATATATATATATATGCATTCTGACCACCGGGAAATCTGCCGGTCATAGATATACTGTATGTATATATGTGTATATATCTCTGGCCAGTCCTCCACTGCACCTTGGTCCCGCATTTATTTCAAAGGAGCGCTACCCTGTACTAAAATGGCGGCTCTATTGATGCATTCCTTCCAATAAACAACAGTAGCGTAGCTGACATCTAATGTAAATATCTATGAGGAGTTGTGTTGTAGGTGGTGCAGTAGGTAGTGCTGTCACCCCACAGCAAGTAGGTCGCTGGTTCGAGCCTCGGCTGGGTCAGTTGGCATTTCTGTGTGGAGTTTGCATGATCTCCGGTTTACCCCATAGTCCAAAGACATGTGGTAGAGGTGAATTGGATATTGTCCATAGTGTATGAGTGTATATGGATGTTTCCCAAAGATTGGTTGCAGCAGGAAGGGCATCCTGTGTAAAACATATGCTGGATAAGTTGGCGGTTCATTTCGTCGTGGCGACCCCAAATTAATAACGGGACTAAGCCGAAAATGAATGAATGAATGAGCTGTGTTGTTTCAGTTCATTTTAAATAAGTAGCTTGAACAAGCAGCATGAGTGAACAAGGCAGAGTTCTAGACCACACCCACTGATTACATAATCACATAATGGACCAATGGTAGTTCAAAGGTGGTGTTTAGGTGTCAAAATGAGCAGCTCCAAATAGTGTCTTTAGGTGATCGGTTTTGAACTTCTGAAGCAAACTCTAAACAAATTTCATTTCTGTTGGACTTTTTTCAGAATTATCTGATTTAATAATGTTCTTTCATTCAAAGTTTCAAGGGTTTAGAATTGGCATGGTCGGAAGGGATGTGTCCCCACCAATATCCACCAATTACTGAAATGTCCCAACCATTAATTTTATCGACTTCAAAATAAAGTAATACTCCGTCAATTCTTAACCTACACGTGCTCCGTCAAGTTCGCTACTCTAATTTTGGCCTCCATGACAATGAAAAACAATAATCGGGATAAACCAGTAAATTGCGTGTCACACCTTTCTAAATTTCTCTGACTTTTGCAGCATGGAATGGATTGTTATTTGTAAGATTAAGTGTTTATTTGATATAATTAAGTACTTTAATGATGTTTTTCAAAGCGCGAAACAGAATTTGTGATGTTCAATGTATGCGCTCTAGTGATGTATGTCCCCAACAATATCAAGAGCGAATCTACGCCCTTGTAAATCACTTTAGACAGTTGAAGTCAGAATTATTAGCGCCCCTAAATTATTAGGTCCCCTGTTTATTTTTTTCTCAATTTCTGTTTAACGGAGAGAAGATTTATTCAGCACATTTTTAAACATAATAGTTTTAATAACTCATTTCTAATAACTGATTTATTTTGTCTTTGCCATGATGACAGTAAATAATATTTGACTAGATATTTATCAAGACACTTCTATAAAGCTTAAAATGACATTTAAAGGCTTAACTGGGTTAATTAGGTTAACTAGGCAGGTTAGGGTAGTTAGGCAAGTTATTGTATAACGATGGTTTGTTCTGTAGACTATCAAAAAATAATTAGCTTTAAGGGGCTAATAATTCTGACTTCAACTGTATCAGGGTCTTATCTAGTGAAATGATTGATCAAATCTTACAAAGACTATTTTTTAAATATGCATATTCACAAAGCACAAAAGCTTGCATTCCAGAGCTTGTGTAAGATGAGCTTTTATGGTTAAAAATAATTTGTACATTACATTTTTTTTTAAGAAAATGACCAGTCGTTTCATTAGGTAAGAACCATATTCCACCTGCCCTTGTGGTGTTAGTAAATACTATGAAGCATGTTTTGGGCCACTGCTGCAATCAGATCCTATACCAATGTTGGCGGTTCACAGACCGGGGGGTTGGGGGTTGGGGGTTGAAATTACGAGAGTTTTCTGGGAGAAATAGCAAAATGAGAGGGTGGCAGAAGATGGGTCTGAAATTTAGGAGGCTCCAGGTAAAAACTAGAACGTTGGTAAAACCCCGGCGGTCGGAAGCCACCCAACCTGCTCCGAGCTGGTATCAAGCTAGCGACCTTCTGCATGGGAGTTGGTTGCTCTACCAAGGAGGCTGAAGACCATGGCCTGTAGTGTCTGTCACTAGAGCACCTTTAGAGGTCAGAGGAGTGAGGTTTACCTGCACATCACGTACTAGTTGGCCTCCATTACATTGGCAGGTATGCCATATTGCCCAAATGGGACTATTTAGAGCCTTTTAAAGCAGCATTAACATTGACACAGAAAAACTTCATTTCTTTTTGACAGAGGAAAGGACCGTCTCTCGCTCAAAAAACTATGCTTGCTGCTTATTCAAACTACTCATTGTAAATGAGCTGTAACACAGTTCTTGGGATTTTTTTGGAACAACTTAATTGTTTCATGTTCAATCCACTTAAAGTTGTATAAACTAATAAACTGCCATCATTCCTTCCTGTTGTCCAAACATAAATCGATTGTGTGGATGATATGGGGTGAGTTAATGATCTGGAAATTTTCATTCTGGAAGTGAACTAATCCTGTAATCAAAATGAGTTCTCTTAAATCAAGTATAATTCAGCTTTAAGCACTTTTAATTTTAACACGTCTCCTGTACCTACAAACCAGTTTCTGTGAAATGCTGTGTGAGCTCATCTTTGGTAGAAGAAAGCCAGCGATCCACATAAATAAACAACAGCTGAGGTGAATGTTAGATTTCTCTTTGCAGCTAATGTGTCTGCATTGTTTGCACATGCTTTATTAATAATGTGAGAAGTCCAGCAGGCCACTGTGTGTTCCGAGACAGAAGGAAACAATGATCTTCTGTTCATGTCCTGATGGCATTGAGGTAAAAACACACTTCACACTACACACTACTCTTTGCTTTGCCTATCATGATCACGTTTTATCAGTGACACGTATTATGTTGTATTATGTTTTGTATTATGCTACCTTCACTGTTTTTCTATGTAATGACTATTAATGTCACGATATTCATCCAAACCTGCATCAAAAGACATTCTTTAGAAAGATACTCTATATTCAGTAATTAACAAACAGAAAATGTTGATTTACATGTTTGAGCTGAGCAGAAATGTTGGTTTATGTAAATAAATCTGTCACTAAACCATATATAAGCACGTCTGTTTTGTCCTTCCTTTAGAAATAATGCAAATTTAGTTGTTTTAAAGTTGTATTAGGGTTGCAATAGGGTTGATACCTGTGATTAACAGCTAAAGGGGTTGTTCTCACAAAAGTACTCAATTTATGCACATTCACATGGTTTCAAACCTGTTAAACACAAGTAAAATACAGTTGAAGTCTGAATTATTAGCCCCCCTGTTTATTTTTCCCCCAATTTCTGTTTAAAGGAGAGCAGATTTTTTCTACACATTTCTAAACATAATATTTTTTATAACTTAATTCTAATAACTGATTTATTTCATCTTTGCCATGATGACAGTAAATAATATTTGACTAGATATTTATCAAGACACTTCTATACAGCTTAAAGTGACATTTAAAGGCTTAACTGGGTTAATTAGGTTAACTAGGCAGGTTAGGGTAATTAGGCAAATCATTGTATATTGATGGTTTGTTCTGTAGACTATCAAAAACAAATATGGCTTACAGTGGCTAATAATTTTGACCTTCAAATGGTTTTTTAAAAATTATAAACTGCTTTTATTCTAGCTGAAATAAAACAAATAAGACTTAATCTCAGGGTTGCCTAAACTTTGTCTTATGAAGGGCCAAAATCCAAGATTGAGAGCTGTGGGCCAAAAGTAAATACAGCAAACTGAATTACATTCAAGTTTCCATTTGTAAATTCCTAATTTATTTCATAATACTCTGAAATAAATAAAAAAAATACTTCAAAAGTATTTACTAATGCTCTCTATTTTTTTATTTATGTTTTTTTTTTTATCAAACTTATTACAATAAAACCATTTTAAAAATCCATTTATAAAACAAAGGAGTTCAATGGCAAATCCATTAGTCATGCTGAACCTGCCTTTGCTTTGTCTCCTATTGATAAGTGATAGTATAAACATACAAAAAATAATCCCATTTCTTCCCCAACCCTTCAAATCAAAGGATACAATGGGTCAACTTTAGCCCGCGGGCCCTAGTTTGGGCATCTCTGCACTAGACAAAAAGTCTACACTGTCTGTAGTGCACTTCAATAATGCGACTAAAAGTGTCATAGTCCACATGTCTTAATCCGATTTTAGATCGATTATGAACTTAATCAGATTAAATTAAGTCATCAAATTGCGGTTTACATGGTAGATGCTTAATCAGTGTATTGTCTTAATTGTCTTAAAATTGGATTATTGGTGTCCATGTAAACATACTCAGTGTGTGTTCAGACTGTCAGCTTTAATTTGAGGGTATTTACATCCAAATCAGGTGAACACAGTAGGAATTACAACAGTTTATATATTTGCCTCCCACTTGTTAAGGGACCAAAAGTAATTGGACAATTGGCTTCTAAGCTGTTACATGGCCAGGTGTGTGTTATTCCCTCATTATCTCAATTACAACGAGCAGGTAAAAGGTACTGAGTTCGTTTTAAGTGCGCTATTTGCATTTGGAATCTTTTAGTCAAGATGAGATCCAAAGAGCTGTCACTATCAGTCAAGCAAACCATCATTAGGCTGAAAAACACAAAACAAACCCTTCAGAGAGATAGCTAAACATTAGACGTGCCCAAAACAACTGTTTGGACCGTTGTGTTGGTGTATAGAGCCAAATATGTTTGTGTTGATGTCCCAGTATTTATTGACCTGACTGTTTATAAACAATTACTATTATTAAAATGAAGAAATAAACTCAAATAGCGCTGTACACATGGAGCCATTTCAGTTGCTGAACTATTTGAGGGTGAAGTGCCTGTTATTACAAGGACATCAAGTTCTCTATTTACTTCATGTGGTTTTTTTGTTGCTCAAGAGTATCTCTGATCTGTTCATCATGTTCTGAAGTCACCTGGATGAGTGGCAAACTCTTGGGCAACACAATCACACGGCAATTTCACGCCATGTACAATTTACCAGTGCTGCACTTACAGATACCCTAATAAAATCCAACTTCAGTAGAAGTATAAAGTCCCCTTTTCAATATAACTCGAGTCAAAGGACAGACGTATTTTCTTGATTTTGAATTTACATTAGTAATAAAAGTAGAATTAATTACTGATAAATGATTATTTTGCAAGAATGCTGTATTACACACTATTAACTCACGAAACCAAAGTAAAAGCATGTGAGATCACAATTACACACTGAACTCTATTTCAAAATCAAATCTCAAATCCCATCAAATCATTTGAGTCTGAGTTCCTTGGTAGACAGAATTCTGGCCTAGATTTGACATAGGGATGGCACAGCAGGCACTCATCAGCAGCATGTGGGCTAAACAGCCCTAGTTTGGCAGAGATGGCACTGATATGGTAACTGATATGTGGGCCATGTAAGTTTGGCCTGTCTTGACCCACATTTAAAATACTTTATATTTTCAAATTAAGAAAAAAAAAATTCTACCAATCAGGTCGCTTTGATAAAAAGCACACCTATAGCACACCTAAAGCGCAATGGTTCATGGGTTTATCAATTTCATGGTAGTCGCTACACACAAACATATCTGGCCCAGTTCAGACTCTGTTTTGAGTTATTAACTTGACCCAGATATGGTCCATGTTTAGCCCTTGTCTGGAAGCCAGACTTGGTCCAGTCATGTACCGTAATTCATGCATATGAATATGTATGTGGTATGGGTATGTGGGCCAAGCAAAACCTGATTGTGTGGGCCAGAGATATTTTGCTATGTGGGTGTTTACTCGTTCACAAATGTGTCAAATTCACAAATGAATCATTCAGTACATTTTGTGAACCAATTTAGCAGGATAACTGAAAACATTCAGCTTTTTCATGACATTAACATCATTGTCTTGTCTATGAGCAGGTTGCAGTTTTTCCATTTCAAAATAACATATTATGTTGAGGGAATTCAATGCAGTATTCTATCCAATATATTAACAGACAAAGTGACAGCTAATTAAATAAGTAAAACATGTTGTTTAGAGCAGTGGTTCTCAATTGTGTTTCAAGTACCACCTCAATGAGTAGTATATAAATATAGTATAGTATAGTATAGTATAGTATAGTATAGTATAGAAATACAGTAGCGTATTTGGTCCAGTAAAGCAGCTAAAGCTCTGTACAGTTCAAAAACGAGGCATGTTAGTTCCTAATATTAAGAACATTTAATTTAAAATGTGCTTTTAAAAGTTAAAAATGGTAGGTTACTGTTCTTAAAAAGTAAAAAAGAAAAAACTCCATGTTTATCAGCACCTGGACCTCATAAATATAGGCTTTGTGTCATCATATTCATATATAAATCATTTTGGATCATTTATTTAAATGTATGTAGCTTGTTCATATGACATATTTGATTCATCCGCGTACCACTAGAAGGAAGCCCACGTACCACTAGTGGTACATGTACCACAGTTTGAGAAGTCTGGTGCTGAAGTGCTAGAGCGTTAAACTGAATGGCTTTCGTACAAACTGGCTAACGTTCGTTAATCCTGACATTTTTTAGCTTTCGTTTGTTACAAAACAGTCACAAAATAAGAAACCATGCCACCTCGTGGTCATTTTGTGTATTAAATGTGGATTTATAGCTAACTATGATTTCAGCTAACACTTTTTGAATCAACAAAACAATAATTTGTTGTCCCTTACTGAAAAAAGTTTGTTTTTATTAATTAAATAAAATTTATTAATTTGGTTAATTTACTATTATTTCAACGCAGAATATTTTAAAACGAATATTTTTAAAAATATATTTAATATGTATTCCTACCCAGTATGGCCAAAACTCATACAATCAGCAGCAATCCATCCCACTAAAACTTTTAAAACATTTGTTCTTTTTTTTTTTTTTTTTTTTTTTTTTTTTTTTTTTTTAAGAAAGTTTATGTTGGAAAAAAGTATGATACAAGTAGACCTGGCTTCTTACAATATTTAAAATATTTTGCTAAGAAATATCTAAAATATAAAACAAATATTATTAATTTATTATTGTATTAATAAATGTATTTAATTATAATAAAAATATTTTATATCTGGTTTATTTGATTTCACATTTCTATGCGTTTTGTTTTTTATGTGTCTAAAATTTGTGAAACCTGCAGAAACCCTGTTTGTTAGATTAGCTCCAGATTTGGCTTCAGTGCAGACTAAACTAGTGTACATGCACAGATATAATATTATAAAGCTTTCTATATAAAGTTTCATTTAAATGAGAGATTTGTGTGGGGTGTCGTGATATGTGCTGAGCACTTTGTATTAGAGGTAAGTTAGTGCTGACTTTGTTTCATTACGTTTTGTTAGTAATTTAAACCGTAATTTAAACTTTTATTATAATCAAAGTGTTTAAGTTACGTTCAGTAAAAACAACTGGTGCCTTGATGAGAGTATAGATTTATTAAAAATGGGCCTACTATGAAAAGAACATGGTTTATTTGTTGTTTTATGGTTTGTTCAGTTTAATTCAAAACTTATTTCCAGACTCAAAGTTCATTAGCAATAAAAAGACCCAAAACTATAAAGCTTATGTATAATAACTGATAACTTTATTTTTTGTATTTATTTACCTTTAAAGGTTGGCTGGATTTTGAAATTGATATTTTGTTTTGCACTTCAGTGATTTTATATTTAGACAAGGACAAAACGACTATGAGACTAAAAACTAAAGGCGCTGATTTATTTTTAATGATAAAATAATTTTAACACTGAATTTTATGTATAGCATATGTATACATTGAAAGTCTGTGATGTGTCGTTTAACTGTCCTCTATTTTTAATCTTATCACCAATTAAAATAAATCTTATCAAGGATGATACTAGCCAAATTACTGATTTTGCTATTAATGGGATAGTTCACTCAAAAACGAACAGTCACTCATTATTTACTCATCTTTGTTCGGTTTCAGACATTATGAGTTTATTTTATTCTGTTGAACACAAAATAAGATACTTTGAAGAAAGCAGGAGAAGAAACCTGTAAGTATTGACTTCTATAAAATCAAACACTATAGAAGTCAATGGTTACAGGTTTGCAGCTTTCTTCAAAGTATCTTCTCTTGCGTGAAACGGTTTGATTGAGCTATGCTTTTAAGTAATACCTCAACAGACACAGATGACACGGGCATTTCTTTGTTTTCTGTCAAGAGTAAATGTTTCATTGTTTTGTCTTGTGTTTAACCCTCTGATGCATGAATTATTCAATCACAAAGTAAACGTAAATTCTTCAAATGAATATAATAATCCCCGATCATTTCAATTATGCATTTTGAGAGTTACCTAAGGTTATATTTGTAGGTCTCATTCTGTAAATAGTATTGTTGTTTAAGTCATATACAGGTTTAACAGCAATGAATTTTTCACAGTATTTCCTATAATATTTTTTTCCTCTGGAGAAAGTCTTATTTGTTCTATTTCAGCTAGAATAAAATCTGTTTTAATTTAAACCATTTACTGTCGATATTATTAGCCTCCTTTAGCAATATTGTTATGATTGTCCACAGCACAAACCACCATTATACTATGACTTGCCAAATTGCCATAACATGTACATAATTGAACCTTTAAACTGCACTTTAAGCTAAAAACTAGTGTCTTGACAAAGATTTGGTAAAATATCCTGTAACAGTGTAACAAGTACCATCCTGGGTAATCTGACACCTAGTGGTTTGCATGTAGTATTGCAACATTTTAACGTTGACTCCTGCTGGAGAATTTTGCACGCATCATTTGTACTTATTTATCTGTTAGCTTTTTCTGCTGACAATCTTTTGTTTGGACATTTTGTTTGCCCTTGTGGAAAATAAAACAATAAAACGTAACCTTTAATAAGCTGTTCAAAAGAGATTTGGCATTTTTGAATTTTAATCATAAATGCACCCCGAAACATCTATTAACTGAGATTGATTTTAAAATATATAGAGAGTTATGACAGTAATGAGAGTGACTGAGGGGAGTTTCATGAATAGAAGCCTTTCCTTACAGAATACGAATAAATAAATAGGTATAGATTTACTTTTTTAAAAATACAATAGCCTACCTATGAGATTAAGTGAATTAGTTTAGTTTAAAACAGCAGCAACAATTTTATGTGCTCCATGTAGCCTAAAATGTCTGTTTAAAACCCACAAAATAGCCTCATTTTAGGCTACACTATAGTCAGTATTATTTTACATTTATTTGTAAACCTATTGCGTTTACAAATGCGTTTCACTTCTTGCTTTATCCATCAACATTTTAATCTTTTTACGTTTTATTCAATTATGGCCTTTATTAATTTATTTTGTAAATGACTGCGAATGCTTATGAAAGTCCATGAGGTGTGCGTTTTCTACAGGGGTGCGTTTCTCGGCACAACACCGGTTTAAACGATTTTGCGGATTTTCAGGTAAATGAGAAGAACAGAACTAATGTCGCAACACTGTCCCATAAACGCAGATGCCAACTCAAGCGACACCGGCGTTTCCAAACTCGTCCATTTAGCATTAAAATGGTTTAAAAGTTATAGACAGACTGAAATATATCATCATTTTCTGTGGTCTTGCCATGAAAGTACTAGCAATGTATTTTTTTATTTTTTTTAACAACACCACTTAAATTTAAATTACTCAAATAAGTTTTTTATTTTACAAATTACGCTAAAGTTAATTAAAATTATATATTAGACATAACAATAAGGCATATAGCCTATTGCAAATAAGAATAAAAGTTATTATTATTTTTAACAGTATTTGCCTTTAGACCATTGCAAAACTGCCATTCAGTATAAAATATTCCTTGTTTTCAGACTGAAGATAAAAGCAAAGAAAACTAAACTAAAGCAGACAGTTTTAATCGAGTTTTTCTGTAATAAATGTTTTAATGACAATATTCTTCTGTGAAATGATGAAGACGCGTTATAAGCTTGTTTACGACATTGATACAAAACAAGTTTTCCAGAGCTCTGTGATGATGTATTACACTGTTTTTGTAGTTTTAACGTATGAATGAGTCATTTAAATTAAACCAGCAGCCCAGAGATGAACTAATGAGGTCCGTTTGATATTGACAAAAATACATTTTCAGACACAAAGAAATGCAGAAAACGTTTCATTTCGATTAATTCCTTTTAATTTTAATTAATTGATTAACTATAATTAATAATGCTTTCTTTTGACACATGGGGAAAATAAATTAGAATAATTTTAAAAGCATTATTTCACAACAAACTTTACAAACAGATCTGATATTTGACGATATTTATGAGCCGAAAAACCCATTGAAATTTGTGTCTTTTAACGTAGATCGGGAATGCAAAATATTTCGACAATTATCGACGTAAAAAACATGGAAAATAGAGTCCTTCTGTTTAGCCTACATTTTATACAGCCTACAAAACTGATTTGCAGGTCGGAAAAAAAATTGTAGGTCTATATATTTTTCTTTGAACATATTTCTGCAAAACTCCAATTTTAAAAGGCTATGTGTGGTCTATTAACACAACACATCTATAAGATCTCACAAAACGTGCACATGCATTAAAGCAAGAATAAAATTAAGCATATTTATAAAATCTATGCCTAAAGTTACTATAAATTAGATTGTTAATCTAAAGATTTTAACTAAATATTTAATTTTGTAAGAGGGTTCTGTTCCTGTACAGTTTTGCCAGATTTATTATTGGATAAAGCATAGCTTTAATTAATGTGCTTGTTTTTATTTGAGGAAATTAAATGTATGATTTCTCCCACTGCGTTTCAAACAATAACAAATACCTCTGCTGTTGCGTCATAATTAGAATGGGACATTTAGAATGTCTTGCATTCTTAAACAGCTTCTCTGTACAGATTTGTCATTTGGCTTGATTTTTTCTGTCTGCATTACACGAATTCAACAGCGTTAATGTTTTATCCAACCGCTTTTGTGATCATGGGACAGAAGAGAAAGAGAGATTGTTTTTCTGACAGCGATTGCGTTATTGCGCACAATTTCCATCATGGTGCGCAAACAAAATCCTGCCCCAACGAGGCGTTCAACAATCTCGAGCCCGTTGAGGAGAGGCGACCATCAAAAAAGATGAGGAGCGGGTCGTCTTCTTCTTACTTCTCTGCTCAAAGTGTCACCTCTGAGGAGAGAAATTCGGAATATTATGATTGTTTTATGGATTTCTCTGTGGAGAATTATGAACTTCAGGAAACTGACACCAGCAGCGGCCTGAGACTTGACGAGGCCAGCTCTAGTTCCAGCTCCTCCAGCAGGACGTCCAGCTCCAACAGCAGCTCCAGCAGGACGTCCAGCTCCAACAGCAGCTGCAGCAGGAAGTCCTGCTCCAACACCAGCAGGACGTCCAGGTCCAGCAAGACATCCAGCTCCACTTCCAGCAGCCCATCCAGCTCCAGCAGCAGCCTTGGTGGTCAGCAGGTCCAAGATCCAGATCAAGACATCGACAGTAAATTGACCTTTAAATGTTCTCAATAATGTTCATGTGTTCCAACAACATTATGTGTTAATTATCTACTTAATTTCAGTAAAAGGCTTTAATAAACTTGAGTTGTGAAGAAATGTGAAATATTCAATATAAGACAAATATTCTGTCAAATTATGACTTAAAATGTCAGCTTTAATCCTCTTGTTGTGTGTTCTCTCTGTAATGTTTAATCTTTTTATTTTTTGCAGATGACATTTTGGGCCGCTACAGAATTGTGAAAAAGCTCGGTCAGGGAGGATACGGGACAGTGTTCGAAGCAGTTCGTGTGAGGGACGGTCTTGAGGTATTTTTTTTTACTCTCTACATCTAGCAAAATATTTCTCTCAGTGTCTGTTCAAGTCTGGTTATTGTGTCACATGACATTGAAAAAGTTGAATGACTGTGATGATTTGAGCTCAGAGCAAGAATTACTAATGTTTTGTTTTGTTGATCAGGTGGCAATGAAGGTGGTTTTGAAGAGCAGCGACATGGATTACCTCAGCATTGTGAGCAGCTTTCTTGGTTTTTACTTCAAGATGTGTTTATTAGAGCCAAAAAGGATTTTAAACATCACTGACAACAAATGTCTTTCCTCTACAGCCTGGTCATCCTACACCCCTTCCGTTAGAGGTTGCTCTAACCATTCTTGCCAACAATGGTCCGACCGTTCCTCAGATAATCCAGATGCTGGAGTGGCAGGAGCGTCCCGACTCCTACATAATGATCTTGGAGCGTCCCTCACCCTGCGAAGACCTTTTTGATTTCCTGGAGCGGCACTTAGGAACCCTCAGTGAGAACATGACAAGGCACATCATGAGGCAGGTAGTGCAGGCTGCCCACATGTGCTGTCAGCGAGGGGTCCTCCATCGGGACATTAAATTAGAAAACCTGCTGATAAACAAGGAAACTTTAGAAGTTAAACTCATCGACTTTGGCTGCGGTGACCTTCTGAAGACCTCAGCATATACAACATTCTGTGGTATGTATTGTCCTTCAAGTCTGCAGTTTGAGATTTTAATTCTTCAACTCCATATTTTGAACAGCATCAGCTTTCTTACTGTCACTAATGAAGAAAATCTTCTTTTTTTCAGGGACTGAAGATTACTGTCCACCTGAATTTAGATCCAGTGGCAGGTACCATGGAAAGGCGGCAACTGTTTGGTCACTGGGGGTTCTCCTGTATGAGCTGCTGTGTGGAGAACCTCCAAAACACAGTGACCTGGACTTGACAGATGAAAGGATTTGGATCAAACCTGGATTGTCAAAAGGTGAGCTGGCCATTTATTACAGCAGAGAAAGCCAACTGTAAATCTAAATGACACAGAGGAATAATTCAGTGATGTTCATCAGTTTTGGCCTTCATGTTTCAGCATCATCAAATCTTATTGTTTGGATTGTGATTATTAAAGCAAGTAGATGTAGTTCAGGTAATAATAATCAGACTCCTCCATCTTTCTCCACAGAGTGCTGCCAACTGGTCCAGTCCTGCCTGCAGAGGAGCCCCAAGAAGAGGATCGCTTTGGGGAAACTCAGCAGCCATCGCTGGTTCAAGGTATTCAATTCTACATTTTCTTTCTTGAGCATTTTTATACAGGAGGTGTGTGTAACATAGAGACCAACAAATGTGTGTGTTGCTTGTTTCAGGTCACCAGATAAAGAAAAAAACAGAAGTTCCAGACCCCTCCATCAAGACGATTATATCATCTGATCTTCTACATCTTCATGTCATTAGACTCAAATAAATTATTGTTTTATAAACACCGTTGTGCCTGAACGTCCTGTAATGGATTGAGAGAAAATGTGCCTGCAAGAAGCAAACCAGAGCTGATTCTCAACACTTACCCAGTTCCAGTGCTGTGTGTCAACACTGTCCTCATCTGTCGACACTTACAGATCCTGACAAAACTGTAGCTGCCTAAGCTTTAGCTTTAGTCTCTCCATCTCGAACATGCTCTATAGAGGGACCCTCAGGAGCACAGGTGTCAAATCCAGTTCCTGGAGGGCCGCAGCTCTGCACAGTTTAGTTCCAACCCTGCTTCAACACACCTTCAAACAAGCCTGAGGGACTTAATGAGTTTGATCAGGTGTGTTTAATCAGGGTTAAAGCTAAACTGTGCAGAGCTGCGGCCCTCAAGGAACTGGATTTGACACCTGTGCTCAAGAGCATCCCGAGCAGCTGCATCAACTGAACTACCTCCAAACACAAACACTAGGAACTGTGTTTACTGATAAATGTAATGTTTCTGCTTCTGAATTGTTTAATGCACTTTAATGTCTGTGTCTTGCACTGTTTGCACCAGGTTGCACTTTACATCATCAGGTAGTTTACTCTTTAACCCTTGGTTCTGAGGTGTTTTGTGTTGTTTGTGTGTCTCCTACTGTTTTGTGTAGTTGTGTGTGGTTTTTATGTGGTAACTGGATAAACATGGTCTCATTTCACTGTGTACTGTTGAGATGACAATAAAACCTTTTTGCACTTGAACTTGCTCATCTCACTGTCTCAGCCGTCATGGTTTTAAAACAGTGCCTGTTGTTTCATTGATTGTTTCATGATCCGTAACACCCCTAATAATTACTGTAATATGGAGCATTTAAAGCAGTCTTGTTAAATACTGTTTGTAAACATTTGCGCCTAAATTATTTAGACACACCTATTGGTTAAATAATGTAATTGCTGCCTACAACTTTCAAATTTTGAGCATCAAGTTAAACAGTATGACCGTGATTTTAATCTTTACCATAAACATCAGTGGTCTTATCTAAACTATAAACTGTTCTCTCAGTACTTCTGTGTTATTTGAATGTTTGTAAACTAAAGACTGAATCTCTTTCTTGATTTTTGTGTTTTTCAAACACAGATTTGAATGTAGCGATTCAAAGGATTCTTAACTTGAAGGATTATTATTATAATTAGGATTAATAAACATGCAAATCATCATCAATTATAATTTATGTTGCGTGGGTGTTGAGATCCAGATCTCCCTGTGATCATTACAAGTTTAGGATTAATCTACATGTAAAAAGAGTATTAATCCACAGGTCACATGTGTTCTAAATCATGGGTTGTGATCCGTACGAATCACCAAACAACCATGATTCATTACATCCCTAATAATTACTGTAATATTGAGCATTTCGACTTATTTGTAAGTATTTGCATTTAAACAGTTGCGACGCAGCTAATGCGAGACGAACCGGATGCATACTGTAAATGACACAGAGCACATCATATCCAAGATGAAAAATTGTCAGCTTTATTATGAACAACATTCCAGAGTTCAACAAGTGAAATACCTGCTAGAATTATTTTGTTTTTTATTTCAGTAAGGTTTATTTACACGTATATCTGAGATCTGAGCGCTGACAGTAGAGACTACTCTTCAGAAATCAACAACATCCACTTTTAGTCGACTAATTATAGTAAACATCTGCTTCTGATATGGTTCAGATGATAAATTATTACATACTAAAATCTGATGGCGTCGAATGTAAAAATCAGAGGGTCAGGTTTTTGAAGGCAGTGCGGACTACCAGAGATTTTTTTTGTTTTCTTTTGTTTTCGTTCTTTTTTGGAGCGTTTTTCCTCTGCTGCGTAACTATAATGGCAATGTCAAAAATATTATGTACAAATTTAAAATGATACAGAATAATACATTTAAATCTTTAGTTACAAGTACAGTTATGAGCATTGTGACGAGTGTGATATTGCACAACTTTGCCGTCATTGCGATACTATTTGTTGAAAAAGTGCAGAATACTTTGTACAGAACACTGAACTGGTTGGCGGAGCTGAACGAAAACGCCTAATAGCTGTAAAAATAAGACACTTGGAGGGGAAAAAACAAACAAACAAACCTTTCCAAAAATAAAATCTCATTAAACGAAAATATACACAGTGTGCAAATGACTTGGCATAGACAGACAGGGAAAAGATAGAGCCCCATTGAAAAAACAGTCTGTTTGGTGTAATGGAGCGTGTCGATGAGAAAGGATGACGTTAACATCCATACACGGATTTCACTGACAAAGTCACCTCAGTTTCCTCTCTGTACAACACAATCTTTTTTATTATTATTATTATTATTAGCAATATAATATATCTCCTTTGTTTTCTCTATTGTTTTTTCTTTTTTATATGTATTTTCCCCATATTACCTATGGGAGGTGATGTCGCACCTTTTTTTTTCGCAGCGTGCATCTTTAGTCTTCAACTGTACGGCGGAAGAGGCGGGACTTCCTGACCAATCGTAGTTAGCAGGATGTTGAGTGGCTTGTCTCTTCTCTCCCCCTAGAGTAGGCTGGTGAAACTGAAGGGTGAATGGGAGTAGTGGTTTATTCCGAGGTGTTTGAGGAGGGCGTGGCTTTACCGGGTCGAGGAGAGCACGTGACCCGGCACCCAGCCCTCTGCAGCAGGTGATTGGCTGTTTGCAGGTCGGTAAACCAGGCACATGTTCTGCTGATTGGACGCCATGATCTGCACCTTCTCGCCGACCACCACGCAGATCTCGTCTTCCTTCACTGCATTGTAGTCCTGCGTCACTAGCACCGATGACAGACCATTACACTCGCCCTCGTCCAGATCCTGGAGACACACACACAGTCAGAATACACTCACTTAGCAGTCGATTTAAAGAGGCCATGATCTTCTGACGTACAGTTGAAGTGAATGTTTTGTCCTTTTCAAATATTTCCCAAATGATGCTTAACAAAGCAAAGAAGTTTTCATAGTATTTCCGATAGTATTCTTTCTTCTAGAGAAAATCTTAATTGTTTTCTTTCGGCAGGAATAAAAGAGTTTTTGTCCTAACCAAAACCTGAAACTCATATTATAGAAACGGCCTCTATTTCTTGCAGCTGAACAACAGGATAAATGGACTATGATCACCTCAAGTACACCTCATGTGCTTTATTCAGGGGCGTAGATTTAGCATTGATGGAGGAGACGCATCCTCACCAATGTTCCTCAACGATTGAAATGTCCCCACCAATAATTTAATTCACTTTAAAAAATTGCTGTGTCAATATTAACCTAGACACGCATAAAGGGTTAAATCAGGTCTCTCCTCGAGTCGCACCGCCCAGGGCCGGCCCGTGGCATAGGCAGTATAGGCAAATGCTAAGGGTGCTGTACATCCAGGGGGCGCCAGAAATGAATTAAGTTGGTTTTGTTTTTGATATTCCTGACACATTCAGTGATATACAGCAATAACTCAAAAACCTCATACCCTAAAAAGATCTAAAGTTTGTTTCCTACAAAAAGACAAAGCTGGTTATGCTTCACAGCTGTCTTTTTTTTTTTTTCGCTCGACATTACGACCACTGCTCCGTTTAGCCGGAAGAGCTCGCGGGGAGTGGAGCTCTCAGTAAAAGACCGTCTGAAAAATGCTTCTTTTTTTATTTTTATTGCTCTGTTTTTTGCTCTCTTTTTTGCGTGTTTTATTTTAAACACAACTAATTTTCTCTTAAATGAGCACAAACAGTTACTAAAGTAGTCTAATGCTTCATTCATTCATTCATATAGATCTGTGCATTCTTACATTAACATCTCTGTGATCAAACAAAACACCATGAGAGATTCACTAGCTGCTCTTCACTAAATAACTATAGTAACTTTAATCAATATGCAAATACAATTAAAAGTTAAATCGATTTTATAGCTTTATTTTATTTCTGTATTAGCCATTGTTTTTAATAGGTTAAACCTTTTATTTTATTGTCAATATTTTCTATTGTTTGCAATGTATTCTATCATTTGAAGCTATTTGTTGTCCCATATTTTTTCGTCCCAATGTTGACAAATATGGCATAACATTGCTAATCAATAAATATCTATAGTGCTATCTGTTAGTTTTAACGTCAGCTAATGTTATAGAAGGGCATAGATGTTATGGAAAATAGTAATAGTAATGTTACTACCCCATCATTCCTTCCTCAAGCAAATGTGTAAATATTAGATCAATTCAGCAATAACGTTAATTGCATTGGCATATTTATCTGACGTTTTCCCAGCTTGTAGTAGTCAATAAAAAAGCGATTTAGTTTCTTATGACTATACACTAGCAGTGGAATTTACTACGATGTGGCGGGGCACCACCTGAAATCTTGCCTAGGGCACCAAACTGGTTAGGGCCGGGCCTGGCACCGCCCACCAAACACATATGAACATTGTGATTGGCTGTGCCGTTCCTAGCTCACATGAGAGGCTGCAGCCTAGTTGCATTCAGATCAGGTTCAGACACAAGCAGCGAGTGCCAAAACTGTGCAGGTGAATTACCCGTGCAAGAATAAGGTGCGTGAGGTGTGTGACATACACATGTGATAAGGAGCTTTTTTCAACGAAATGTGTAAGTCACATATAGCTCAAGTTCACTACCAAATGAGTCCATGATGATAATGCTGTTAATGCTCATGTCTTCCCGCCTTTAACACACAGTCTAATGTTATAGCAGACTGATATGGTCTGTGAATATCCTAATATGCCCTGAAAACTGACTGGAGAATAATCAGCTAAATGTAAAAGTATATGATCCCTGCCAGTTCTCCCGATCTCTCAGAGTAGCATGTCCGATTTCGGTTGAAACTCTCTGTCAGAAAGACTACAGCCTGTGCTCCATCTTTTACCAATACTGATTTATGAGACAAGTTTCGGTTGTACTGTGGCTAAAATAAACGGAACTCTTTTCATTAAACTCTCTCTTTATCAGTTAATAATCATTACTTTAACATTACACTATTGTTTAAACTGTAAGTTATATCACAGTTTTATAAATAATGAAAATTTAGAATAAAGAAATATGGAAAAATACTTTTTATTTTCGGCTTAATGCCTTTATAAATCAGGAGTCACCACAGTGGAATAAACCACCACCTTATCCAGCATGTTTTACGCAGCGGATGCCCTTCAGCCGCAACCCATCACTGGGAAACACCCACACACTCTCATTCACACACATAAACTACAGACAATTTTAGCCTACCCAATTCACCTGTACCGCATGTCTTTGGACTGTTGGGGAAACCGAAGCACTCGGAGAAAACCCATGCGAACAGGGAGAACATGCAAACTCCACAAAGAAATGCCACCTAACCCAGCCGAAGCTCGAACCAGCGACAGCACTACCTACTGCGCCACTGCAAAGTACTTTATTTTAAAATACAAATTTACAATTATATATCATTACATTTTTAAAAATCTGTTAAAACTAACAATTAAAATAAATTTTAAATTAAAAACTGAAGCCTAAAGGCAAATAACAAACTGGCCAGCACATTCAACTTTCCTCATTCAGAATTTTGCCATTTGAATAATAAGAAAAAATCAAACATAGTAATAATAATTATAAAAATAAAATAATAATCTAACTTTTGGTCTTTAGAACCACCTGAACCCCCCAGGGCTACGGGCCTGACTATTTCATTTAACTTCATCAATTTTATGAAGAGAGGATTCATTAATAATATACTTTAATAGTAGTTAAATACTTAATAGCAATGTCATGTCAGTGTCATGTAAAATGGCATTAAAACTCACATTATTAGCATTTAAAACGTAATTAAGACAAGGGTGTAGGTTTGCACTTGATATTTGTGGGGACGGATAAATGCTGTATATATATACGCCCTTGGCTTTATTACGTTTTAAATGCTAATAATGTGAGTTTGAATGCCATTTTACATGACATTTATTGCCATACTACTGAAAGCTGCAGCAGATAGTTCACCTCAGGTCTTGAAAATAAAATAAACCC